GGGCGAGCTGTTTGCACAGCGATGAATTCACTCCGAGGTTGACCGTCTGATGCTATTTCCTCCTAGACCTTTCGAGCCCTGGCTTTGAGCATCGGGGCAGACACAGGATGCTGGTGGGTGTGAGAAAGGGCCTCACGGAGACCAGCCCAAAGCCCTGACCCAGTGGGTATGTGTATGTCACCCTCCAGACTGATGCCAGGCTTAGGGCAGGCTCCTTTATGACTGTTTTCTCCCGTGTTTACTCTAGTTACAGGGCAACATTTACCAAGAGAGAGTTACACAAGTCATTTTAAAGAGGGAGGGCAAGGGCACAGCCCGTTAAGGTTCCACTTTTCACCACTGGACCCCTCTCTGATTTGTTTTTAACACTTCAGCCACTTGCTCTGAAATTTCCATGCTGTCGGGAAGCTTCCCATGCTGTTCTGCAGGCCCTTTGGAAAACAGGGATCGATAATCGCCATCCCACAGCATGTACACAGGTACGCATACGGAGCAAATGGACTTCAGTGCACAAAGGCAACCTGAATTTTGGCAAGTCCTCAGGGTGAGCGGTTCGTTAAAGAAGTCATTTCCTAAGAAAATAAATTGGAGCCTGTTGTTATAATGATCCTCCCGCCTTGGGCTACCAATAAGGTCCAGCAGTTCTGAGCCATGAAGGATCATTCTACTGCTTCACTTGACCAGCAACCAGCACTGGCACCAGGCTCTCCTCCTATGGACCAGCCACTGGAGAGGGGTGACACTGCACATTTTGGCCACAATTTTCTCCATTTATCTGCTGACTCCAGGGAAGTGAAACATGGAGTTGAGGAGAGGACAGATCCTTCATACCTACTGACCATCTCAACACTCATCTCATTGCTGCGTGTGGGTCTCTCCCCTCTCCACAAGCCCTCTTCCATCCAGTCCAGTCCACCTCCTCTCCCCACCTCCATCTCCTCTGGTCCTCCCATCCCTGTCCCCTTCCTTCACACACCCCGACAGACTGATCAACTGCTCCCTTCTCTTCTCCCTGTTTGACAAAGCACAAACCTGGGGGACTACAAAACTAAAGCAATGTGCAACAACAGACCTAGGGCTCTGCCCTGACAGTGCATCATCCATCTTATCTGTAACAACTCCCGGGGAAGGCCTCCTAGCCTCCCTAGGTGGTCTTGCGACAGCTTCATGATAACAGGCTGTATTCTCAACATCCAGCCTAAATCATCCTGGCAAATTAGCAAATCAGTAAATTAAGCTGCCATGGAAATCTGGGGCTTTAATAACCACTATTACATGTTGGCAGACTGCTACATTGCACAATAGTTTCCTTTTTGTTGCACTGAATAAACTTAATTCTTTTGACGCCTTCTCACATTTCTTAATCTCTTCTCACTGCTTCCTTCTGGATACTTAGCAGTACGCCTGTGTCCTCCTCGGAGCAGGACACTCAAAACCAGATTTGGTGACACTGATGATGCCTCCACAGTGCCACACTTGAGTAAGTCGCCTTGTGCACCTTTCAGAGGATGCTCCTTCAACAGAACCCAAACCAAGATTTGTCTCTTTCGCAACAGCCTCTCACTGATGATTCATTCACGGTCCACTAAAAATCCTCACTCTTTTTCTATCCATCCCCTTCCAGCTCTGTAATCCTGACTTAGTAAATGTGCATTCTGATCCCTTCCTTGCAAATGAAGCACTCTGTGTCTGCCTTTCTCTCTTATCTGGATGCACTCTCCCATTTCTTAAGGTCACTCTGAACCCTGACCCTGTTCTCCCATATGTCTGCAACCCCTCCCAACCCGATGTCACCTGAGCCTGTTATAAACATACTCCATCTTCCAACCCATGACTGAGAACACCGCAAGTTTTCCTCCAGAAAGCGACCTTGCTGATGTATCACACGTTACTGCAGCACTCAGATCCACAGAGACATGAAAGTGAAAATGTTTTTCAAGCGTCATTCTATGTGAAGGTATTCAGAAATGCATGTTTATGTGATAGGCTGTGACTTTTGAAAATACAGACATTCATTTAGAAACTAATTCATGTGGTAAAGGTAGGACACATCAAATTCAATAGGAACTAACTAAAGGAATTAATAAACACGACGAGAAGGCTGTTTCCCAGTGAACGCTGTTTCTGGGGTCAGCCTGCTACCATTTGTCCGTCGCAGGCTTAGACAACCGAAGCCGTCGGATGAACCCAGCAGTGCAGCCTTATCCACCCTGCCACATGAAGACCAAGATTCACCAAATAATGAATCATAACTGATTTCTGGGATCCACACAAGAAGAGAGGTATATCAGGGTATAGTTCCCTTCAAACTTTTGCTTTGCTTTTGTATTGCTGGAGCCACCAGGCTCCATTCCTAAATTATTTGAGTACTGCAGTATGAAGAAGCCAAACCAGATTTCTCATTAGTTAAGAATCTGAAGTTATTCAATTTTAAAAATGCTACAGTCAAATTTTAATAATCACATTAAGCTATTGCCCCAGCTCTACTCAAGATCCCCAAACAAAGCGGCAAGATAAGGACCAGAGGAGTCTCTGGTGTGATGAGCACCCACCACCCAACATGAAAGGAGCTTGGGAAATCCTGGGTACAGAGCTTCTATAGCTGAGAAATGCAACTTCTGAGAAAACATTCTGCAGATTTAAGAAACAGACACTTTTAAAATCCATTTTAATTGGAAAAAACATTTTTCCATTATTTTCTTTTCAGTGCTTATAACCCTACAAACCACTATTTTCCTAAACACTTTTCAGCTGCAGCTTTTCCATGACACGCACAAGAGCCTTTCTCAGGCAAAGACTTCTGAAACGACTACAGGGGAAAGCATATACAATTTTATAGATGAAATACCAGCATCACAAATCCAGATAAAGCTCTGCCTCCAGAAACCAATTCATGAGAAGGAATCTCTCCCCTTCCAGTGTGCTCAAGCTTACTGTTACTCAGCCTGATTCCACGACACAAGAAGGTGCACAAAACACTGAGGTATTTTTTAACAGTCTGCGCATATAAGCAGCTTTCCACATTGCATATTTATAATTGTATATGTATAAATTTGTACATCTTCACCCATAAAACAAGAGTTTTAACTGAGTTAACGCAGTTCCCAAAGTCCAAAGCTGCTGACAGCACCAGTGAGACTTCTGAAATACCTGCAGCTCCTGACCAGGTGCGAGCAGCAACATTTCTATTTGCAACAAGAACACAAAACAGCTTTAACTAACCACAAAATGGCTCTGTAATGAGAAGGTAATGAGCACCTCAGAGACTTCTGGCTACAAAAAAAGTCAGCACTAAATAAAGCAGAGACAGGAGGAGGAAGGAGATGCACATTTCCCGATGGCTTTCACCACCCTGCCCAAACCACACGTGTGAATTAAGCTCTATTTATAAGTCTTCCACTGATTTTTTTTTTAAATGACCTTAATATAGTGCAGTTGTTATTTTGTTTCTGTTGAGCTTAGCAACAGGAAACCCTGTCAGTCCTGCAGCAAACTTTCCATTCGCCGGCACTCCCATTCCTGCACCAGAAAAGCCAGATTTCTAAAGAGGTGTTTGACAGGGTGTGGGGGCAGAGGAAGAGGAGAAGAAAGGAAACACACAGAAAATCAAAATGCCTGTAAAACATGCAAAATGGAAGCCAAATTCAATAAGTGTCTTTTCTTTTTTCCCTGTTTGAAAAGGAAAGGCAATCTAAGTTGCATTTTCTAAATGTATCTTACTTTACTACCAGATACCTAAGTATTAGTAATGACAATTACCTTTAATAAAGGGTCAGTAAAAAAAAAAAATCAGCGTCTTTACACTCACGTATTCCAGCAACGAAAGACTTACTTATTGGATAGCAAGAATTTTAGCTTGGAAAGTTATTTGCTGTAGTCCCTGGCTAACTCACTGAGCAAACAGCTACAGAAATTAAGCTTTAACTTGTTAGAAAAAGAAAAAAAAAGTAAAACTGATTTTATTACAAGCTTTGGCAAGACTCTTCTGCTGCCTAAAGAGCCTTACTGTGGGATGAGCAAAGTCTTGTGGTGCTCCACCCTGTAACGTTAACTCATCTCCGCAATATTTTCTCTTTTAACAGCTTCATAATGGTACATTAACAAACAAGCACAGCTGCTCAGCAGCAACGTGCACCAACACAGGCTGCAAGCAATTTACAAAACACTTCCATTTTCAGGAATCAGAAATTATATATAAAATATAGGAGCAAATGCAAATCCAGCTAGGAAAGGTAAGAACAAAAAACTCAGCTCCTGATAAAGCAGAGTACGTGTTAGGGGCACTTTAAACCAAAATTATGTTCCAGTCAAGCCTAATAATCACTTTTTTTTTTCTAATCATAAACAGTCCTTAAATACAGCAAAGCACAAGTAACAGAAAACAATATCAACCCATTTCTGATCCCCAGCATGATCTTTTTATATTGTTTCACTGCCATGAGGAGCACAGGGAGTACCCTCCACACCTGATCCCTGTATATCTTCCCATTATTAATTTCTCTTTCAGCAAAGGCACTAAAGCTCCCAGCCAGCAATGCCTCCACACCCTGGAGTCTGTGCACAAACCAACACTGACCACAGCCACAGTTCCTCTGCCAAAAACTCCCTGGAGGGGCAAAGCCTGGGAGGGGACGGAGCAACACGCCAGGACCACGCACGTGTGGGGACCTCAAAGGCACTGCCAGCCCCAGGTGCATTACAGGGCATCACTTCTATCAAATGATATATAAATCTTGGTACAATCCTGCCTCATGAGAAACTTCTGGGCCAGTCTCTGTGTCACCGACTGAGACAAATGTGGCTTAATCCAGTGGCTGAAAAAGGCGCAGTCTAAAAAAGCCCACACTGTTTTTACAAGACTACAACGTCATGGTGACAGACACCGCTCAGCTTTGCAAGGGCTACAGAAAGGAAACCAGTAGGTTAGGTGGCCGGCTGCAGCAGCAGTTCTTTAAAAAGCACAGAAAAAGACAAGGTGACAACGCGTAAGTGGCACTCACCGCTTCCTCGTGGGCTGCGCACTCGTGGCGATCTTTCAGAAAATCCACCTCGTCTTCAGTTTTCATTTCCAGCTTCCCTGTGAAAACAGAGGGTTTGCACAGGCGATGTGAAAACAAACGCCTTTCAGCGCTGCTGCTACTTTGCTGTTTATTAAAACCAGTCTCAACAACAAAAAGAAAAAAACAACAGAAAAGAAAACCCAACCCCAAAGCCCCTTCACCAAGTCCACTTGACTCCCAACATCTGGTTTCGCTCCCGACTTTGCTGCTTGTTTTTTATTAGTTTTAACAACTATCATGTCTGGGACTGAAGGAAACTATGAAACAGCAGCAAGCACTCCTGGAAGGCTCTAGGTGAGGCTGAGCACATCTGCGTGTATTCGCCCATGTATTTTCTTGACTCCTGTTCGCCTAGCTAAAAGAATAAAAATTTTTGCTGTTTTTCTTCTTACCATAACCTGAACATAATGCAAAAAACCAGCCTTGCCTTCTCAAATGGTATTTTAAGTGTTGAAAAAAACCCAACCATCACAAGGTTCAAAAATACAGCCCGCTTGCGCAGTCTAATGATGACTGTTAAGTCCTTTGACTGGGAAGGCAAACCCTTTTCTACTAGAGCTCACAAAGTCCCAGCTGATTTTCCCCTTCCTCGTGCTCCCATGATGGTGTCATCACTGCAGTGCTACGAACGCCATCTCCCAGCTGCTATTTCTGCCCAGCAAAGACTTCATTAGTCACCGTTCCCCTGGGCTCCCCCCTCTGTCTACCTTTCCCTGGCATAAAGTCAACATCCTAATATCCTACCAAGCCTTAGCAAATTACTCTCATGGCACACAGGATACTTTGAGAGGAGTGAAGTGATTTGACCAAAGCCACCCAGATGGAGAGTGTCTGTGTCAGAGATAAATCCCATCTAGTCCCGCTCCCTTACTTATTTCTACTAAAACCAAACACTGGATGGATGACAACATCTTCTTAAGGGCAACATGTGTTAGCAGTGAGTTTATTCGTTCAGGGATTTAGCAAGAGGAGCCTCCCATCACCATCAGGAAACTGCTGTAACAACTCTCACCAATGGTTTTCCATTGGCATTAATGTCTACCCTTGATTTTGGGACTACCTGGTTTTACAATGTTCTATTGATAAACTAATCCAACACCAGGTCAGTCATGATTTTCTCTCTATTAGATGAGTTTGTGGGTGGACTCTCAGAAATCACAGGTGATGCTACAAATGTCTATGAGTCCCACTTGTTGGCAAAGCAGAGACCATGGCCGCAACGATATCTGCTCGGGGTCACAGCAATGCCATGATGGTCAAGATCTTGGTCCAAAACCAGAACATGCAAGGAGGGAACCTCCGGTGCAGTGAGGATGAGAGAAGTGAGCGGTGCAGCAATACTCTGTGCTGGGTAAGAACTGGAGGACCAAGCCATGTGCCCTCAGGATTAAATTCAAGGGGCTAATTTTTTGCACTCTGCCACTTTTTCCTAAAATGCTATTAAAAAACATATCCCAAACAAAAGGCACTATGTTATCACAGATAGACAGATAGGGGCATAGAGCACCTTATCGCCTGTGTAGTATCATTAGTGGCATTTGTTATTGGTTCATCCTGCTATTCTTTAACATGGGAAGAAAACTGTAGTAAGTGCTTTTCCAGTGGGAAAATGCCATTGATGAGAATGAGATGAAGACTGGTAAAATTCAATATAAGGTGATATTCTCCTATCTGGCAATGAATATTTTCTTTAAATGCTGAGATCTACCAGAGATACACTGGGGATATTTCTCCCAGGAGAAAAGCTAGGAAGCAGTGATTACAATATTTGTTAATTTAAGATGCCAAACCCCAACCACACAACCTAACCTTGCCAGGGTCACTTTCTCCCAAAACACTGCACCTGCTCAGTGGTGTTTTGTCAGCACAGACAGATGCCATTTCTTCTTTTCTCACCCAGCCTGCCTACTGTGGTATGATTTCATATCCTGCTTTTTTAATGAGTAGCATCTATCTACCTGGCTTGCACATAATGTGCTTGAAGAACCCATTACTCAGCCATAATGCAGTTCTGAGCCCACAGCTATAGCATGAGGAGCTGCCTGAAGAAATCTTCTACCTGCACCGCCTTCCTTCAATGTTGTGATCAGTCTCTAAATATTTGTCTGGATAAGGCAGTTACCCCTCTACAGTCTCTGTTTTGGGGATAGGCTGAAACTAAGAAGCAGCAATGGGATAAACAGATATATGTTTGGGAGTAATTTCACAATATAAATAAAAAAAAAGAGCTCAATGATTTGGAGTAATGGCAACATCATCATCTGGTTACATCTCTGATAAATCAGCATGACAATAAATGCCTCCGACCACACACATTTCTGAGAAACAGCCTCATGACCTGCACTTCCTTTGGGAAGGCTTTATAGTCGCTGATCGAAAAAAGAAGTGATTCATTCTGAGCCCTGACGACTCCTGTGCGGATACAAACTGCTCTGTGAGCCCCGGCTGCAGGGAACGCTCCCCAGCGCGGACACAGCAGAGAACTGACACAAAGAACTGAAGGCTGCCACTGAACACACAACGCGCTGCCCAAAGCTCAGACGCTGGCACAAAGAACATACACAGCAATAACAACAAACAATAAATCTCTTCTCCTGAATTACTGCCGTATCAGGGCTCTAGACGCTGCTTTATGGGAGGTGAATTTCAGCAATATTTCTAATAGTGAGCTTGGATCCATAGCAGCCTCTTGTCTTTGCTTTAAGCTAATATTTTATTTGGGCTTCCCTAACATTTTGCCACAGAGCAATCGTAAAATTCTCCAAGGGAATAGCCCAGGTGAAACTTTGCTTTGTGCAACACCACATTACAAATAAGCAATGGAGAGGACAGATCATTGTATTCCAAGACCTTGTACCCCTAAATCCTTATGCGGTTTTTCCCCCCTTTCCGTACCCTGACCCAGAATGATGCCTTAATATCAGTTCTACTTCAGTCACGACCTCATTGGGTTGTCCCTTCCCCTTTTAAAACCTCGCCTAGACAACGTCACGCCTCCACGAATCCAAGCAGAGATAAAGACCCAGACTGCACACAGGGAGCTGACAGAGTGGGAGGCTCCCAGGAAAAAGGGGCCCTGTCAGGTGCTGACCTACAGCCTCTCCCGGCCCATTGACCTGTCAGACCGCCACGGCACTCAAACAGGTTTCTTTCTGAAAACAGCTTTCTAATCCACCTTTGTATCTTCCTACTTATTTACTCATGATCTCCTGGCTAACACTTAGTGTTTATCCCCCAACACAAACTTTCCAAAAATCCTGAACTCAATGAAAACAGGATTTGCTGGACCCACCATTGGCTGCCCAAAAATATCAATCCTTTCCTCTGCCCCCAGTTATTTTGCTATCCCATATCAGAACAAATCCTCTGCTACCACCCCACTCTGCATTTTGACTGAAGAAACAGCCCCCAGCATTAAAGCAGTGAAACAAACAGCTTTACAACTTCATGATTTACATCGTGGCAGATTTATTGTTTTAAATCATTTAAATGGTTGGTTTGTTTGTTTGCTGCTGGGAAAGCAAGAGGCACTGTATCATTTTCTCACTGCAAAAAAAACCACAACAGGGCAACTGAAAAAGCTCAGCTGCTTCCATCTACCAGCTGTCTGAACAGGTGGAATATACAGTCAGATTAGCTCCATGCTTCAGTAGCAAATTCACCTACAATTTAATTCCAGGCTGGAGCAAGAAAACCATTTCTCTTTCATTCAATTTATCCCTTTATTTCCCTTTTTGGAGTTACCTGGTGAAGTTTTCTCTCAGCTCCTGTTGCACAGACACCAGACGTCTAACTCTGTCCCCCAAGCACCACCGCTCTCCCCCATCACCGCTCATCCACGGGGAATGCCGGTCCCACTTCCCAGCCGTTTGCAGCAATCAAAACTCATCATCTGAGTTCCAGCCCTGCCTAAATGCACTGGAAAACACCACCGGCTGCTCCGACCGACAAAAAAAGCTGTGCGGCCCGGAAAGGCGGTGGGGGGAGGGCTTGCTGGCTTTTTAAATGACCTAATACCGCCAATTAGGAAGTGGCTGTGCACAGTTCAGAGGGACACTGGCAGCTGTTTCAAGTAGAGGAGCAAAGAAAATGCAAGAGAGCCCCATTTTACCCTCTTAGCAAAAATAAAGGGGAGAAACGAAGGAATAGCGCTGAGCGAATAAACCCTCAGGCCCACATGAAAGCGTGTAACTTGAAGATACGGCAAGCCAAACGTCTCCCTCCCATTCATTCCTTTTCCAGGAAGGATTCAGGTGCTAGAAACTCTTCTGCAGAAATTCACAGGAGATGGTGTCCTGCCCTTACCTCCAATGCCAGCCAAGCAACATGCACCTGAACTGAAAGTTTTTAATATGTAACTTCAGATTTCTTCTTTCTCAGAAGAAAAAGCCCAAACACCTACACTTCCTCTGCAGGGCAGGCCTCTACTGCTCTTATTTCCCTTCCTTTGCTGAAGAGATGCTAGGGGCACACCTACAAAGAAAAAACTAAAAAGTAGGAAAGCAACTGATTTTTCCTACCTGTAACAGGCTCCACTCCTTGCACTGCTGGGCTGGTGTTCTTCTTCTTTGTCGAGGAACTTAAATCCATCTCTCCATTCAGGCTGGCTCCCACATCCACTGCAGTCTGGGGCCCAAGCCCCACTTTTTCTGCAGCTGGCAATTCAGGGGAACAAGGTGTCTCTGCTGCAAAAACCACCGCATCAAAACTTTTTACCATTTTAGGAACCTTATCCAGAGAGAAGCCATTCTCTGCCGAAACCAAACTCTTTACTCCCACACTTTCCAGTGACTCAACAGCGTGTAAACGGCACGAAGACGGCACGAAAGGTGATTTGGGTACGGCTTGGCTTTGCTTTCCATCGGGCTCAGCCAAGACCTCCCCCTGAGCTGCTTTCGCAGTGGGACCGGTATCGCTCTCACTGGTCGGACAAACGGTGTCGGTGCTGGAGTCGCTGTCACACATGGGCTCTTCTGCGATGGGATGAAGCGCTGCCCGAGGAAGCACGCTTTCCATATCCTCCTGCTCTTCTGGATATGCTGTGACTGGGGTTATTGCCACTGGCCTTAACACTTCCTTACCCCCACAGGCATCACTCGGGGCTTCCAATTCTGAAGCATCCTTTAATTCGGGGGTGCTGCTATGTGGGGAGATGCACTGTTGGGTTTCACTGGGATCATGTCCTTCGTTCAGCCTTGCATCTGGAATGCAGTTGCTCTCCGCACCTGGTGACTCACCCACCAATGTGGGTTCATGCCCGGTGCCTTCTCCTGCATCCACTGCCTTGGTCTCACACACTTCTTTGGTGGAGACCAATCCTTTCAGCCCAGCATCCACATCACTGCCACCTGCCACAGCCTCGACCTGGCTGCAGGCAGTGGGTTTCACAACAGCGGCATGAAGTTCCTCTGACAAAGCCTGCTCCCTGTCACTGGCACATGCCTCCAGGTGAACCTCAGCTTTGCCTCCTTCAGCCTCCTGAGAGCTGTTCTGCTCCGGAGAGCCCTCGTCCCCCACGGGGTCGCCATGCCAGCTGGCTCCAGCAGCTACCCTGCCATGCTCCCCGCTGTGCTGCTGGGCGAGCTCTGCCACCGCCGCCACCGCTTCCTGGTTTTGTTTAGATTCTTCATTATGAATTACAGAGGGTGTGTCTGTTAAATTATCCTTCACACAGTCTGTGTCCTTGGCACACGGAGCTAATGCAGGGTCGATACCTTGCAGAGCGGCCTCCTGCCCGGGAGGTGCCACTGCAGCATCTCCCTCCTGGCTCACGGTGGGTAGAGGAGTGAGTGATTTTATCTCCTCACTCAGCCCCTCCTGCTCTGAAGCACTTTCTGCTATCTCTGCTTCGGTTTGTGCAGGCTCTTTTTCTGCCACGCACTGGCTCGCATCCGCCGGAGGGACTGGTCCAGGCTCACATTTGCCCTCTTGAGCAGTGTTTGGCTTGAAGCTGTCACCCATTTCATCTTTAACGACAGTTTGATCAGCAGAAGGGCAACAGTTAGCAACTTCCTGACCTCCATCTGCAGAATTTGTGCTTCCTCCATCTCCGCTGCTGCTGGTATCAGTTCCTTCTGGCTTCATTTCACAGACTTCACTGCCCTCCATTGCTTCAGCCACACATTCAGTGATCTTACCACTCTCCTGGCAACACACAGGTTCTGCACTGCTTTGATTAGATCCATCAACTTCAGAATTTTCTAGTTTAGCATCAGGGCCATCAGTTTCCACACTGTCTTCCAGTGAGACCGAGCTGGATTTTCCATCTGCTTTCACCTGCCCTTCTCGCTCCTCGCTCTTACCACTGCCATGGATTTCCAAACCAGGACCAGGTTTTGATGCACAAGCAGGAGCCTTCACTCCATTCACTGCCGGCAATGCCACGCTGGTGCTTGCAGTGACATTCTGCCTTGGGGCAACACAGGCATCACCTTGGCTGTCCAAGAAGCCACTGTTTACCTGATCAGTGCATGTGTCCACTCCAGTCTCTTTATCATCAGTCTTGCAAAGGTCAACAGAGACATCACCAGTGCCACTGTCTGCTGTCATACCATCACGTGCCGGTACCACTCTCATGCTTGCATCCTCCCCATCTGCACACTCAGTGCCATTAAAACCACTGAGTAAGGGCTGAGCAGTACTGGCTGCCTCTTCTTTAGCTGGTGATTGCTCTAGTAGGTTTGCAGTCCTCCTTTCACCGGCCTCAGCCATCCCATCCTCTACCTGCTGCTGGCCCACAGCCTTCTCAGCCGCCCCTGTACAGTTCCTGCATTCGGTTTGGCCCATAGCCACATCCACGCCCTCCAAGGAAGCTGGGGTTTCGCCTGCAGTTTCAGCCACAGTAACAGTGCTGTCAGCTGCGCGCTCCTCGGCAGCCCGTGCTTCCTGATGGGGACTGTCTTTACTGCACAAACCAGCTTGATCCAAACCAACTCCAGCAGATGTCATTCCAGCTTCCTCATTTGTATTTCCACAGGATGGAAGATTTAGGGCACAGTTTACACTTGTACACAGGCCCACGGTGCAGTCCTCATCTGATAAAGTACCAGAGCCTTCAGCAGAGGTTGGCCCCTCCTCTTCCTCTTTACTCAACGTCACTGTATTTTTACTTTCACAGAAGCACTCTGGGCTCTTTGCATCCCCCAGACTCAGCAAGTCATGGGGCGCATCTTTAAAACCTCCTGAACTCCTGCTGTTGCATTTCTCCTCCTGGTGGGTTTGGTCTGAGAGCTGCCCGATGTCCAGGTGAACAAGATCAGATGGACCTTCTTGCCTTCCTTCTTTTGCCATTTCTTGCGGGCTCTGAGAGGTAGTGGCCAGGTGTTCATCTAGCTCTGCTCCTTTAGCACAGCTGTCTCCAGAATCTCCCAGGACAGGCTCAGTCTTCTGCTTTAAACTCTGTAACAAGACAAAAAAAAAAAATTGCTTTGTCATGCATTTACGCCGTCTCCACCATCTACAAGATCTATATTGCCATAATCCTATTTGATGCGACTCCCACTCCCTCATACCTCTACCTAGCATCCCTGTTTGAGTTACAAACATACTGCAGTGGGTATTTTACATGTTGGTTTTGTTACGCAGTAATACTAAAATTATTAGAGTGACAGAAATGTTATTTGGAAAGAGCATCTGGTGGTCATCTACCCAACCTCGTGCCTGAAGCTGGCCTATCACCAATGCGACATTAGGTCAGCCATGGCTTCGTCCTGCCAAGTCCCCAAAACCTCTGATGACGGAGCACCCGCCAGCTCTGGGCAATCTGCCCCCATGCCACACAACCCATGAGGGAGTTTTTCCCAACAGCCATCCTGAACCCCTGAAGCTGCAGTTTGTCCCTCTGACCCCTTGCTACACCATCTGCCACCACTGAGAAGAGTTGTAACTCTGCAACTGTCCTTCAAGCAGCTGTAGCCATAGTTCTTGAGTGCACTCACATTCAAGATCAGTAAACAGCAGGATTCAATCTACCAAATACTATAAATATGCGCCAGTCTACTCTCAAAGGGCTTGAGCAAATTCTGCTTAAAAGCAACTTCAGATCCCTATCCGATGGCCCTCCCCACTTCTCATCAGCCTTGCTCAGTTTTTTCTGTATTGATGGAAACTCTGCTTCTGATGTGGGAATTGGCTGATGATGTCCAAACACCACCATTTGTCTCCTACTCCTAGGACTGAACTAATCATCTAATCTATTTCTGAGAATTGCATGCATAATTAAATATCTGAAATTTACTTCCTAAATGGAAATAAAAATTTGAAAATGATGACATACTGTTAAAATTAATATATGTGTTATCATGGAGCAGTCGCAACGTACTCAATTCCTCTCTAAACTGCACTGTCCTTCCAAAGCATCTACTTTGTAGAGAATCTCCCAAGCTTTTACAGCTTGATACAATCAAACCTTTACTTTAAAAGGTCTGTTTCAGTATCTCCTTTTTTATTGTCTTCGCTGCATATCAGTGTTCACATCTCAGAAAAAGTGACTTGTTAAGTTAATGAGCAACCCCAGTCCTTCAAGGTACACCCCTCAGAGCTCCCTTGATTTTGTGTCAGGCTCAGGGTTTTGCACCGTGAGCTTTCAGGGGTCACGCTGGTTTCTCAGTAAGTGCCTGCGACTCTCCACAAATACAAAACTCTAATGGACTACTTCAAACCTGTTATTTTTTGCATTTATTTGCAAAAACACTCCAAAAACTACATGCGTCCTAGAAGCCTAACCTCTACATGTCCCTGCAAACTTTAAGACACTAGTTCTCAGAGAAGCAGGATTTTGTATGAAAAATGTAATCTTAAATACCCCCTTTCACCCTGAATATTAAAATGGCTAAAATGTCAATTGAGGCAACACAGGGAACTTCTGGGTATTGCATATACAAATAGTGGCTAAAGTCATCACTGCTGTGTTGAGGATATTGCATTTACACATCTTTCCCCACACTGAGGTTTGCAAACGATGAGCACCACCACTGAATCACAGACCACTAAACACACTGCTGCGCTTGCCATGAATCTCCTATTGAAAATAATCTGGCTACCCAGCTCCCATCCATGCTGTCACCTATGCCAGAGCCCCCTGGTTCTGAGGCATCTCAAGACACGTTAGCAACGGAGGCTGGCAGCATGGCATCGCCATCCATCACATAGCACCAGGGATGGGATGCAGGGCTCTGCGTATACAGCTGCAGCTATTTTTTTGGAAGGCTAAACAAACAGGATCAAGCCAATCCCAGCCAAATGGTGGCTATAACCCCGCAGCAGAGCATGGGGATCATCCTGCTGGTTCCTAGCCAGGATGGACACAGAAAACAGCGATGCTTGCTTGAGAACAAGCAAGTTTTTCAAAAACAGTGGCCGTGGCAGCCCCAGCATCCTCACAGTGAAGTCACTCCGCCGATAGCCTGAAAAATAGACCTGTCTCCAAAGGAAGCCAACTGGCTTTTAACTGACCTGAAATGAACCCAAATGAAATAATTACAGCGCTGCTTTCCAAATTCAAATCAGATTAGATATGAAGTGAAACAGTGCTGGAAAGAAGAAGTCTAAACATAGCCTTTCTGATTTCATTGTCAGGCAGAATGTACCCATCTGGCATTTGCACAAGCAAACAAGAAGTGAGCTGGATATGCCAGCCGTGTTTTCATGTCTTTTGATGAAAGGGGAAGCAATTTCACTGTTGGCCTGGGTTTGCCACTCAGGCCACCAGTTCCTGTTGAGATCGGGATTAATCGACATCTCAGGTGTACAGGGAAGGCTGAAAAATGCTCAGGGTGGCCAACACCTCTGAATGTACTCCCAGCCCACTGCCTGCAGACAACGAATCTCTCCTCCCGTAAAGGAACAAAAATATCCTGTAATTTAGATCCCATACCTCTGTAATGGTGGATGCAGGAGCTGATAAAGGAACACCCAGAAGTGATGTCAGCCATGGAAGACGTGTGGGTGATTCTGAGAAGTGGCACAGAAATGTCCTGGCTGTTTCACCTTCCCATCTCAACCAAGACCCTGTAGCATCGACTTTAAAGCAGTGAGAGAAAGCCCTTCCAAAGTCCCACAGTTCCTGCAGTCCAACTGCTGCGGGGTCTGAGAGGAGCGCAGTGAGGGGACCACTATGGACACGTACCCTGTATGGCCACGGCAGGCTTATCCTCCAAGTCCCACACCAAGTTGCTAAAGAAACAGCTGTTTTCCCCATTACATGCCCCAAAGATTTTCCTCTGTGTCCTCCCTGACCCTGAACTTGCCATGTGAACAGATTTACCCACCAGGCGCAGCACCTCCAGACCCAGTCCTGCTTCAGAGCCTGCCTTATGCTGCCTGATGGCTGTCAGACACCCCAGAAGAACAGTCCACCTCCAGAGGTGTTTCTCTGCCCATTCAAGGGGGTCTCAGCTTAATGGAGAATAAGACAGGAGCTGGGAGCAGAGAGAGCCCATGAGGTGGAACAGAGCCAGCACTGCATAGCCCCAAGCCTGCTTCTCTTCTCAGAGAAAATCTGCTGCCTAGTACCGCTTTATCAGATCTCCCATTCTCGAATGAGAAGAAAATAGGCAGGTTTCCACCTGGATGTTTGCTAGGGACATCCAGAGAAAATGTCGAGGTAAATACACTCCCCTGCAGAGTGCCTACCTCAGCCTTTTCCTTACCATGTGCTGGTGGCTCTGCATGTGCATCCGAAGGTGCCGTATGTCACTCTCCAAGCTTGCTGCTGCCCATTCCTTGGTTTCAGCCGTCAGCATGTAAACATCGAGCCCGCGGTGGTGCTTCACGCTGTAGTCCCCTGAGTGCACGGTGTGAGACAAGGTGCTCCAGGACTCCGGTTCCCTGGCTTCCTCCCTGCAACCAAACAAGCGCAGGTTAATCCGCGGGCGAGGAGGGACGCTGCGCTGCAGGACGCGCACGCTGTTCTTCACTCCGGACAGTCATCTAATCAACGGCCCGAGAGAAACACAGCACCGGCTCCAGGACCAGACAGACAAATACACACGCACACTTCTCCGTCTTGAAAATTAATGTGATTTAGAGTTAATGCCAGGCACAAGCTTTATTTGAGCATGCACTTCTTGGGTACAGACCCCTGTTTTTTTTCCCCTCAAACTATGACAGACTAGCAGCAAAGGACATAAAAATTGCTTTTTAAATCACATTTATTGCAGGTGAAGATGACCAAAAGCAGCTGTTGCAGAAAAACAGACACTTGAAAGACAGACTGCAGAGGAACAAGTTAAAAGGAAAGAGTATTATCATGATACAGATGCTACAACTCCTATACCAAAACCAGCACGCTGCTTCACAAACACCCAACAGCCATCATATCGTAGCAATTTTTTCACTCCTGAAATGAATTTATCTTGCTCTGTGAAACTGTTTCTGTGCAAGATGTTCTCAATGCTGCAAGACAGCTGCCCTCCGCAGCAGCATCACAGATTTTCTTTTTACCAATCAAAAAGAAAAAGAAGATGCTGTCATAGATCAGAATAAAAAAAATACACAGCAGTTACATATATTTAATAGAAATTTCTATTCGGTCATCTCTTTTTGAATGCCAAACCCTGATTTTGCACGAGCTTGTGACTCAAAGCAATGATTCTTCAGGTCTCACTGAGTTGCAGAGCAGCCACACTGCCCCTTTAGGGGGGTGAGGAAACATCGAGGTGTCCATCTGAAGCTTCATGTTTACAGATTTCATTTCGAATCAGAGCTCACTGAGGAAACCCAAAATCTGTTTTAAACGCCCTGGGACAGAGCGACCTGCACAGCATCCCACCAAGCCTCACATCCCCCAGGAGAAATGCTGGAATGGCAATGGGGACTTACACTGACCTGCTCGGGGCTGTGAAAAAAGGAAATTTCTCTGCATCCCTTTTACCAGGGCTGCATCTATCGAGAGCCAGCCAGGAGAGCTGGTCTGGGGCCTGAACTAGATCACCTTTAAAGGTCCCTTCTAACCCAAACTGTACTATGATGTCCCCTCCCCATTGTGGGAGCAGACCTGGCCACAACATGCATCCCCAAATCTCCTTTGCAGCACAGCTACAGATTTCCCTAGAAGGGACAGAGCTTAGAGTGTATGCAAATAATCAGGAATTCAAGAAGGTACACGTACAGTAAATATATTACCATCAACCAGGTAAAATTAAACACGGATTTCAGCACCTTTGCCAACTGGTTTCTTACTTTAAAAGTAGCAAACCTTTCTAATGGGCCAGTGGCCACCTAGCAAACCACAGGGCAACTCTCTCTGGGAAGCCACGCGATTCAGAAAGCAAAGTCTTAACGAGCAAACAAAACCACGATTGGCAACAGGAATGGGCAGGGCACATTAAGGAAACAGTCAGAGGGTTCATCACATGGCACAGAAATCTGTGCAGGTGACAGTGGTGGCAGCAGCAGTACCCACTCTGCTCCAGCACAACCACTCACCCCCTCCCCTGTGATTCATTTTAGGCTTCATCTGAAATTCAGACAAAGCAAAGCTACATCTGCCACCATTCACTGCTATTTAACTCAATTGACTTCAGTAGAATTAGCCTTGACTTAAGCAGAATCAATATTTCCACAGAGAAGCAGAAGGAAGCATCCAGGTTTTGATGGTAATTAGTGTAAATCCATGGAGGCACTGAAGTCAGCTGAGCCATTACTAAAGGAATGACCTTCCTTTATCAAGGAAACACAGACGTTTCTGTCTGGAGTATTTTTCTTTTCAGCTGTGATATATGAGAAACTGCTGTACTCAGGGGCACTCCTGGAGTACAAGGAGGTGGTCAGCACAAAACCCATACGCACTCACTCACACGGCGACAACATCAGCCGTATTAAAGAACCGAGCACAATGAGTCTGCTCCACTTTCTCATCGGCTTCAAGGACACTTACAGACATCTTCAAATCGGCACCCACAAAGCAGCCTGCGGGACTTGAGTCTTAAAGGACCCTCAGTGACTTCAAAAGCCTCAAAATCTGGAGCGAGATGACAGGCAGAGTCCCCTGCAACACCACGAGCACAACCCACCCCCTGCTGCAATTTGCCGCCTTTGCATGGGCCAGACAGATCAAAAAAATCACTTCTGCTGACAAAGCCAGCAATTTCTTTTCACTTTCAAGCTGCTGATCTGTAACTTTCCAAGACACCAAGATCTTTCTCACATCCAGCCAAATACAGACAACTCCAAGCTCTCATTTTTAGTAGCAGTCACATACACTGCAAAAAATTAAGCAGAGAGGTAGTGGATGTCTCCATCTCCTGACTCCTTCAAATCATCCCTTTCATACGCTGCTGCATCCCGCACTGATGAGCTGCAGCAGAGAGGACAAATGGGTGTTTGCAAGCGTTAACTTGTTTGTCTGTCTCCTGCATGTCTCACTGCAAGCCCTGGGTTTTCTTGAGAGATGATAAAAACACATTTTTTGCCAGGAAAAAAGTGCTTTGCAGTCACGTATCTTGTACTTCTTAGTTGTGAAAGATACTCATTTTGTACAGAGTAGGAATTTCTGTAGTGCTTGTATAGAAGTGCATACCCAAGCTGGTCTACTAGGAGATAAATCAGATATGCAAATATTTACTGAAGATTTATCAACAAAAATGTACATATAAATTCCAGTATTTGAGAAGCCTGAATATCTGCTCATGTTCAGCACAAAAAATCAGTTTGCTGCACTTTGCCAGCAACCAGGGAAATCTGTTGTCTTATAAGGTTTAATCATCAATTCTTCTCATCCTCCCCTTTCAACAGCATCTCACAGAAATATGTAAAATATACCAATGAAACCAAGATTTAAACAGCATCAACTCCCAGTTTAACTTTTGCAGAAGTACCTTGCTTGGTCAAGAAGGCAAGGACTGACTGACAAGGTTGCCAGTGTTTCCTTGTGTGTCCCCATGCTCGGCACAACCATGTTGTGTCCCAATGAAACAGCCTTGAAGAAGTCCTCCAGCTCTGGCCCCTGCTGTCCCATGGAGGCAAACCCAGAAGGGAAGCTGCTGGCTTCAAGAGAGGACAGATTTATCAGCTGGTCCTTCATCCATGGAAAGGTGGCTCAAAGAAGGATGCCAACCCCAAACAGGATGAGAGGAGAAGTAAGCAAGCCTCCAAAATACACTCATGCCACGCCATGCCCTGCTTGACCTGGGGGCTGATGAGATTGCTTAAACCACAGCATCACCTCCTGCCCATTTGGCACATACAACAAGATGACAGCATTTTTTAACCCTCCCAGCATTGCCCAAGCAGACTCATCCTTGGTGAAGAGAAGCCGCACTGCACTCATGTGCCGAATCTCTTCTCATCATGCAGGGGAGTGGATAGGATGGCCCCGAGCCAGCGAGCGGCGGAAAGAGGGAGAGGAAAGCCTGCACCGACACAGCACGGCTCCTGGCTTCCTGCAGATACCGGTGAGATATTTTTAAGAGGGAAGATAAGTGAGAAAGGGAGAACAAAAAACCTGAGTAAAAGCTCTGCTTGCCTTCAAAAGATGCAGAAACAGTGCTCAGTGACAAGGGTTTGAAATTCGGCGGTGCCAGTGCTGCTGGCAGGCGTGTTTCCCGGTGCAGAGATAACAAGTTTTGAACGGAGAGGAGAGGAAGAGTAGGAGGAAGAGATGAGAAGAGGAACAAAAAAGCCTCAGTGGGTTAAGCAGAACCTCGTGCTGGGAAGGTTTATCCCACAGTTTTAGAAATGGGCAAGGAAGGCGGTGTGGGAACTCAAGGTGTTATTTCCTGGGGATATCCCCTCCAGATTTCTGAGCTGGACTTGGGCTGAAACAAAACAAACTCAGTAGCGTTGCCAGCTCTTATGATCTTACTGCAAAAGCCTGACAACAGTTGTGGGTTTATCCTGAAAACATCAAGCCCTAGATTCATGTGATAAAGGAAAAAAAAAAATCCAACAAAACAACCTCACCCCCAAAAAAACTAAAGAAAAACCAAACCACTTTTGTTTTTCCTTCTTAAACAAAGCCCTTATATTATGGTTGCAGTGAAAAGCTAGGAAATGCTAGAATATAGACAGTCTTATCTGTAAGGCAAATAGAAACTAAATTGAATTTTAATCTTATATCCTTATTCAAATTCTGAATTATTACTGTTGTTATAATATCACACTGAAAATTATAGATAGACTGTGATTTGGGATGAACAAGGAATGGTGCCTACTGGGACAGGATGCTGGACTTGGTGGCACCTGCATACCACGTCCGTAACTCAGGCAATTTAAATCAAGCCAACAATCCCTCCTGTGAAAGCCCAGCACCCAGACTTGATGCAGGCACCAGCACCTGAAACCAAGACATCTTAGAAACCTGATAAAATAGAAATTCAAAGCAATATGAGGAAGTGTTGGGCTAACAGAGGCTTTGATCAACTTTGTACCCACAATCTTTAGTGACATACAAAACATGAGTGCACACAAACACTCTTGCTACTCCTCATTTTTGTAACCATCAATACGCGTTGTATATGAGGTTCACAAAGCACAACCAACCACGTGTTAGAATGGGTTAAAACAAGTCAAGCATTTATAAATTTGAAAGATACTTAACAAGCACAGCACTCATACTTCAGGTGTTTCCAAGTATTTTAAAAGTACCCAGAAAGCTGTAAAAACCCCCCATGTTTCTTATGCAAGAAAATTTTCTAGATCACTTGCTAATTTAAATACTTTGATATTGAAGGAAAGAGTTAAAGTTGATCCGATGTAGAAACGATGGCTAACCCCTTGCAGTGCTGCGCACAAACACGACCTGCAGTGCGTTCTGCCACTGAACTGAGTTCAGCATTGCATACCCTACCCTTCAACATCAGACTGAACGTTTAACAACTGGATTCAAAATTTTTAACACAAAGTTTTCAGTCCATTGATCAACACACTACACAGTGGGGTATCACACAGGACAGCAAATCTGGCTTGGTCCTTCAACGGCAGCTTGCAGACACACGTATCCTAAGAGAGCACGTCCATGATTTCCAACCACGAGTCTGTGCTCCTAAACCCAAGCATTTCTTAGGCCCCCAATGTTAATTATACTTTAAAAAAAATACAGCTAGAAACTGCTATCAACTGTATTTGTCAGAAAGTTTGATGTGCATTCCATAGTTTAATGCACTTTTCCATTAGTTTTATTTTCACAGTCTTATCTAACAAGAAAGACACCCTGCTCAGGATGTGGAGCTGCAGGTCCAACAATGTCAACTCACAGTCACATCAGTAATGAAAAGAAATTTAAGGTGAATCTATGAAATGGACTGAGAGTGAAAACAGACGCCATCTGTTGAATTTTAAATACAAAAGCGCAGTCATGGAGACTGCTTCAACAAGCAATGTTTTCTTTGCAGCTAAAAGCAGCACCTTAGATCAGGACAAGCGATACGGAAGGAAGACTTGTCTCTGCAGAACATCTCCGCATGCTGCAAGCAAGCACGACCACAGACTGTAACACAACCCACAGATGAAGCCATTGCTTTGGCTGCCTCTGATACAGCAGTTTACAGAGTCATCTTCTCCAGTAATCTGTTCAAGCTTTGGTCTCCACTCCAAACATCACTACGTCCAGCAGATCTGCTCCAGAGTCACTGTGAGTATCCCAACTGGATGTCCAGCTGACCCGTGCCTGAGGCCAAAACCCCAGCAGTTCTGGGAAATCACTGATCTGCATTTTCTGCATTTATCCTGAAGCGGAGCTGGTCTATCACAATCACTTACCAACCACACAAGGCTGTTCAGGGCTTATGGCCCCTGTAATTTCTGGGCTCACCTCCAGATCAAGATTGCTAGGGGGCAGAATAATTTTCTTCTCATATCTTACTGCATCTTCCCAAATCTCCTTTTGCCTCCTCACAGGCCTGTTTACATGAACATCATCTCCCAGGACCTCCAGTTTCTGAGCGGGATATCACAGACAGTAAAACACAGTTTCTACCATACAGACTTGTCTCTTCTGTATTCAGGGGTGCATAAATACAAAACAAAGGAGAGGCAGGAGCCAACAAATGAAAATCCAAGTCTTCATAGGGATGTGGGAACACACTAGGAAACCAGTAAAAGTTGGAGGCATGCAGTGGGTGAGTAGGTGGAGAGCGAGAAACAAAAACTCTTCCTGCTGCATCACGTTCACACCTGGTTCATGCATTCCCCTGCTCCCAGTCTGCACCCAGTCTGCTGTGGGCAGAAGAAACCCTCAGCACCTTTCTAATCAGGATGATCAATCAATTAAACAATGGTGTTTCAAATGATAACCTATATCACCTTATAACCAAGGTGATAACCTTGGATCACTGCATCTCTTGTTGCTAAACAGCATCCTCTTAAGACGTGCATCTCTCATCGGGTCCTCTTCAATTGGTCCTCCTAACATCTCTGAACTGCTCTTTAAATGTTAATCTTGTGCCAGCACCTATAGGGACAAAGCCAACTATTCTCCTCTGGGCTCCTGAACAGCGACCAAAAGGATCTGTTGCTTGTTTTGGGGTGGAAGAACAGAGGAAAAGCATCAGCATGACTTCAATAAACTCTTCAGCCCCTGACTCTGCCTAGCCAGAAAAAAAATTAAAAATATGCATAGCATCAACTGCCCAGTGGTGGCAACCTTCTGGCACCAGCATGACCCCAGCTGTGTCCCGTTTGTGTCCAGCAGATACTGGGAGAACTGGTGCAGCCAAGGGGAGACTCAGAGCCCTGCACACTCAGTTCCCAGCTCACAAAGAAGGCAAGGGTGCACACCGGAGAGGGGGCGTTCAGCCCATACCTTCTCAGGGATACACATGAGCGCTCCTGTTTACGTTCAGCTGCCACGATCTGGCACCGAAGCTGTAGCGCTCAGCAATGTTTTCAGCCCCAGGAAAGTAGTGATTTTGGAAAGCATCCGCACCACAGACAGCTCTTCGCCTACGCAAAGGCTGAATTTAATGGAACAGCCTTACACCAAAATACAATGAGAAATGTCCAACTTCAAGTATCCTCCCAATTTGGCAGGGCAATGTAAGAAATGCTGAATTTTAAGGCCACACAAACTCTCTGCTGAATATGCACGGGGTGTTTCTGAAATTAAACACATGCTAAAAGGACTTGCTGAAGCGCTAAGAAATGAGATACCAGGCAAATCCTCTTGCAGCTCTGTCTCAGAAAAGCAGAGAAGTGTATTCAATTATAAAAGTAAAGTTACCGAAAAAGTATCCTCATTTGTGAGACACCATGAAAATTACAGCACAGACTTCACCAATTACTTACGCAAAATCCAAACAATAGCAAGTGATAATCAGGGACTGCAAAATGTTCTTAAAACCCTTCTGCTACCAGTGAGTTATTCCCCATGTCTGTTAATTAAATCAGTTTAATTTTGGAAGTACAGTCTTGCACTGACTTCGAGTTTCAAAAACAGAGCCACTTGGTTGTTACCAGGAGATTTGGAGGGAGAGCAATCCCAGAGCTGTGCAGAAGCGCTTCATAGCAATAAGCCAGTAGAGAAAACAGCAAAAGCAAGATTAATATTACAGTAAAAAACCCAAAGACTGTTACAACTCTGAAATTCTCCTATGCAGGGATCAGAAAAATGCAAGAGATTTATTTATGGGCTTTGCTTTTCTCTTACTCCTCTCTTTTCAGGGGGCATAAATCACTCTCGGCTGTCAAGGAACTACAAGCATTTGGCTTCACAGAAAGAAACGCCTATACTTCAGGGTTACTAGACAGAACGCTGTTCTGCAGAATTGAAATCAGAAATAAAATCAGTGTGCCTGTTTACAAAACAGCTCTGCAGCTCTGCACACCGAATATTTCTTGGAGCCATTTTCCTCGCCCGACTTACAGAGAGCATCGCAGAACATGGAGCTGGCAGGGAGACTGCGTTACTGCACCGAAGTGTGTTTAAAAACCAACTACTGCAAACGGCAGCTGTCCCATCGCAGGGGCCAAGTTACACAGAGCGGCCCAGCCCCTGCTTAATAAACCGTGCTGCCTGCACACAGCCAGCCCTGCCCAGCCCTGCAACGCCCCGCAGCCAGCGCTGCCCAATTTCAACATGGGGAAGAAACCGGCTTGGAGGAAGGACCCTTGGCTTCGAAATTCACTCCTAACAGACGTAGAAATTGCAGAAATTCAGAGAGGGCTAGGAAACCTACTTTCCAAAGCTTTATTTTGTGCAAGTAACTTAGTTAAATTAGATTTAAAATTTGTATTTCAATTTGTATTTTAAAAAACCGCAAAACCAAATTGTTAACCAAGCTGCTAGCAAGCAAACGAGAATGTTCCTAAAGAAAACCTATAAAGATGGTTTTTTCCTTATGCGCTCTCCTATTCCCTTTGCACCAAAGGCCAATGTTTACTGTGCAGTTTTAATCTCAACAGATAAAACAAGCACCCTCAGGAAAGAACAACCAATGAATAAACACTGCTATTTGCATCTTGCTCCTCATCTGTGGTGACCTACGCTTGCTCTATTGCAGCTCCTCATTTCGGTCTCAAAAGCAGCAGCACACACAGCTTTGCTGCCAGAGGATGCAAGAGCCGGTGCACAAGCTCAAGGCTACAGAAAGGAACACTTCAAGTCTTGTAAAATTTAAATTGGAAACATCTTTCAGTTTTCTTACATGAAGAACTGCAACAACTGAAAAGGGAAAGCTCATCTGACAAACAGAAATCCAAAATGTCACCAGTGTAATTAGTTTTTGAGAAAAATATTTACACTGCAGCTGAACCAAGCTGCTTTGCAGCTGAACCCCAGCAAAAGTGCAATGACGGAGAAGGTTTTGTGTCTGCTTTTTAATGAACATATCCTAATTACAGCAAAATTTCACCTCTTCCTACTGCTGGCTGGGAGAATCATTGTAAAATGCAAGGTCCTGCAAACTAGCAAGTGAACAGTAAAACCCCCACCAGTAATGTGTCACAAAACACACTGCATTCATTTATTTGGTGAAGTGCAGCTTAATTACTTGTAAAAATAATGACTCCTTTGTATGGGCTTTCGCTAACATGCGTTGCTGCTCAGTCTTTTGCTGAGCGGTACAAGTTGCATGCCAAATTTGAGTGCATGGATTATACTGCGTGGGCATAAGCAGAGTGCAGAAATGAGGTTGTACAGCATCTATTGTGTTGTGACAGCACATAAATGATATGTACTCTCTTCGTGGAATTTGGCTGCTTTTCTCTAATTTGAAACTCAGTATTTCTCCGCTCAATAGAGATTCTCAAGCCTCGATCCTACCTCATCACCGAAAGCGCTAAGCACATCAAAAATCTCTGCTAGGGAATCAGGAAGTGTCCGTTCTGCAGCCATCACCCTCCCATTGAGAAAGGGGTCCACGACTTCCAGCGTCCACAGATTTCTGATTGCAGGGCTTTGTGGAGACAGCGGGGTATTCAGAGCCATGGGGTACATGGCATGGCTGTCAGTATTACAGCATTTGCTGTGAGCTCTTATAATCAAGTTTTGGCCAACTTAAGCTTTGTGACAGTACCTAAACTCTGTTAACATGGTTGGTCTCACCTTGGAGGACTTTGCTGCAGTTAGAGGGTGAATTAGAACACTCTGATTTTGCAAGATAGTCTGCAAAAGAGCTGTGTGTTTTCACAGAATGGCTGTTGAACTCGATGGAGAGAAAAGTAACACTGTCATCACCTCTGTATCGATCCCAGCCAACGGTGGCAAAATAAAAGGTTAGAGTATAGCCCCTGTCCCACCTCACACTCTCTCCCTTACCCTCACTTTGCATGTGAGGTTGACTGAATTGCTGAAGATGAAACTTAAATGCAATCACTCCAGCAACATAGATTACATATTTTTGCCCTCTAACATGCAAAAACCTACAGAAAGCAGAATAATTTACAATTTGTAATGGAGAAGTGTTGCGTGATAACGTGGAAAACACAGCAGACTCCTAACCATGACATGGAGCCACTCAACATAAACCCCAAGTATGTGAAAATTCAATTCAGAACAACAAAGTTAATAACAAAGCTTAAGAGAACCAGGCATCGGAATAACATACATGCAGACCAAATCTTTTCTCCTTTACAAATAGGCCCCCTCGGGACTTACTTAAGCTCTTTGTCTTTATTAGCCTCAGCTTTTAAAGCTAGATCTCCAAACATTTTCTATTCAAAAATAACTCATCATCTTCTGAAGGATTTCTTATAAAACACTGCAGTAAATGCTCACACAACTTGTTACTTGCTAGGATCCAGGTGCTTCTCAAGACCACTCAAAAGAGAAGAGCTTCTGCATTAATTCTTTCCTAATTTTCTTACCTATATTGGTAAGATACCTATTCTCTACAAGAAGCCTCTTTATTTTAGTACAATTGTCATTACTTCATTTAACCAAAAAACTCCAGACCTACAAAGTAAGGACACAGCAGTCAATCACCACCATGAAGCCCACCAGCCTCCCTCTTTTGGGCAGCTGTGCCTGTTTGAAGAAAAGCTTTTACACTCGTGTTTGCATAAGGTTTGTCTTAATTAGTCAACTTACAGTGATTTACTTTGGGCTTTAAGGGACAGCTTGAAGCAGTACACTGTGCAACAGAAAAGGACGTAACAATACTATTGCATTTCCCCTAAGCTCTAAGGACCTGTTACTAGCAAGAAAGGTACAAGCAAAATTACACAAAAGTTGTCTTAAAGAGGAGAGTATGGCTCTTGGACATTATTCAGTGATAACGTACAGCAAAAGCAAGCAGGATACAGAGTGGAAAATTAACAGAGGACCCATCAAAGCATCCTTACTCAGTCAAAAGCCGGTGCAGCTTCTGGTAGCCCCTCTCCAAGGCCAAGCTCACAGGCGTTGCCCCTTGGCTGTTGTGGATGCTGAGAGCTCCTCTTCCACCCGGCTGCTGGAGCAGAAACCACGTCAGACGCAGCAGCCCCAGCCTCACCGCAAAATGCATCAGCGTTTCCCGAGGGATGTTCTCTGGGAAGAAAGGAAGGAAAAAAAGAAAAGAAATGGGAATTTGCAGGTTAGGTGAATGAAATATTCCCATCTCCCAGCCACACCACAGCCCAAAAGCTGAGGACCCTGCAGCACCTGGAAAAACACACTGGTGCCAGTATCCAGGAGAGACTGGCGCTTGAGAGCAAGGGACACGCTGCAGCAGGACTGTAAGTGCTCAGGACCTCTCAGGGTGAGACTGACCACAGAAGTCAATGCAATAAAACCACCATTTCACAAACAGCCAAGGCAGCCCCAAGTTGCAGCGCCTCCAAACAGAGCCTGGTGTGGTTGGGTGGGTTTTGCTACATGTCCAAGCTTTCACTTCACACACTCAGGACCAGGTTTTGGGAATGCACAAGTTCTGTTATTTAACAGGATGCTGATTTGCCCCAGGGCATGAAAAAATATCAATTACATTTGAAGGATAAATCCAAAGCAGTTATAAATAAAAACAGTTTAACCTCTTGTGTAGACAAAACAAAAAGAGTTAGGATTTTGCTTTCCTGTATTGATGATGCCTCCGACCAGCTTTTCTCAGCTTTACACAGGAGCTGTATCATTCTGAGTAGCAGCATTTATAAACTAGCAATCTGCACCGCTGCTTTCTATGTTTAATAACCATGACCTTCTAATTTGGTAAAAGTCACTCTTGAGCCTAAGCTTTCGTCTCATAAAAATATCCCCCTACTCTAAAAGCTGCAGCCCTCTAGTGATGCTCTGAAGAGCTTCATCCAGAAACGAGCTCCAGATGCACTGCTGAAATACAGTATTTACAGATCAAAGGCTGTGACTTCTGTATGAAGGGCAAAAGCATTTGGGTTAAAAAACCTGAGAAATAAAAATTTGGATTTCTAATTAACAAAGGATTTCAGAACTGATTGGCAGCAGCAACAAAAAAGTACCAACTGGGTCTCACTAAACAATGCCAGTGAGCACACTTGGTCTAATGCCTTTAATATCGTAGCAAAGATTTATTGGGTTATTAATTTGGTTGCCAGCCAAACCTATACAGCAGGTTTAAAAATGCAAGTGCATAGCAGCTTTAGGATTTAATTAAGTACTTCTTCCTCAAGAGGTATGCCCCAAGAGAAATCACTTCTTCAAGGTGCTGCTGTTTTTCTTGCTTATTTGCTTTCTTCAGGGACATCGTTAAGACCTTCAATGAAAAACAAAGCAAAAATGCGAGTTCTCCCTTGTCTGACACACGATTTTTCACAACATTTTGGATCAATTCCTGTAGAATTAATTTGTATTCAGGAACCAAAAGCTTTCTGGCATTGTCTCTCTTCTGAATGACTCCAAATTAGGTCTCTGGGCTACAAACCAATCCTTCCTCCTCACCTCCTCTTGATTACCGTAAAGCAAAACCACGCTGTCCTGAATACATGAGCATGTCTGAATGGAGGTTCCAGCTGATCACACAAAAAGGGAAAAGCTGAGCTCACTTGGAGACAAACTCCCAGCCTGTGGGAGAGTAATGACCAGGATTTGGGTATTAAGTGCTATGGAGTGTAATGCTTTAGAAATAAACAACGCAACAAGGTAGTTAATCCATGGTTGTCACAGTCTTGGACTGAAAGAATAATGAAAAATAACACACCATATAGACAGACACAAAGGAAAGGCTACTGAGAAGGTTGCAAAAAGGAGTAAGTGTTGATACATGCGGGATTTACCAGAGTAAAAGCAAGTGCCCAAGGTTTCACTCAGTCAACTTGCACTTGCACAACACTCCCACGTTACCTGCACTCACACACTGCTGGAGTCAGCTAACGTAACTACAGCAGCACAACTCTTCCTGCTGTGAATGTAGCAGCACAACAGCACTTCTGTTACAGCAAACGACTGCTGTCCAAACGAAGAATGTGTTGCAGTGGTCTGACCACATCTTTTCTAGCACGGGACCTCCTGCTCTAGCTGCTCCACTGAAAGGAAAAATCATCTTCCTAACTGAAACGGACACCCTTGCACCAAAACTGAGCAGAGAAGCTCAGTTGCAAATTGAATCTGCGAAGCATAACGGGTTCCTGAACCAAAATGTTTCCTTCTTCATCTGAGAGCCTCACCATTAGGTAGAAGCATCGTCTACTCACCAACTCGCAGTTCACCAATAAACACACATATGAACTGCAAGTTCTGCAAGATCCAGGCGAATACTCATCCTGTCCCTGGTCCAACTGGGTGCCCCTCTCTGTCTCATATTCCCATAGATTAAATGCTCCCTCTCAGTCGTCCCAAATGCCCATCTGATGTAATCTGCTCATGTGACTGCAACTTCTGAAAATCCCAATCTTCTTTACCATGAAATCAGCGGACACAGCAGTTCCCCCATTTGGATGGAGGTGTCTACAAATGCAGCTGAACAAAACGTGGCCCAGCCCCAATGCCTCTGAGCAACGACGACGTGCACAGAAGATCTGTGTGAGAAGACATGGCGTGTTGCCATCCAGAGCACATTAAACATACAAACTCACTACCCAGGCCTATTTGGAAAGATCCGCCTAAAATATAAACTGGCACGAGGCCATCCTAACAGATGGGCACAGACGATGGCAGCAAAGAGACAAAGTACTGTACGTACAACAACTGCAGGGGCCCCGGGCAATGGCTTTAGAAGGTTTTGGAGTGCGCAAAACCTGCACAGCTACAGTTGGAAGGCGTGTGCCATCTGTGGCCTGGATTCACTACTAACACATAATGAAAAATACATCTGCTGGTGTCGCCCAGAATAAGATGAGAACTGGCCTGCATTAAGTATGGGAGCGTTGCTGGATGGAGAGAGGAGGAAGATGTACAGCAGCCCTCCAGCCTTCCTACCTCTGAAGCACAAAATGCTGGAAACTCAGCCAATGGTTTCAAGGTCTTGTCATGGTGCAAAATGTTTTCTTGCAGGCTTTAGCAGGCAACAGCCAGAGCTCCTTCTCCTACCCCACATCAAGCATGAGCTCCTCAACTTAAAATGGCTCTCTCCTCTGAATGTCAACAAAAAGCTTTTTGTAATTAGGAAACTGTGGAAATACAAGACACACGATACTGGAAAGTCCAAGGTTGTTTTGTTCCTTTCTCGTTTCCTAGTAATAGACAAGAGTTGAAACATATGATTATTGTCCCATAATGGCAGGGCATTCTAATCCAGCTGGCAAAACATAAGACTTTAGATATATTATTTTTTATGTATTTTTTTGCAGCTGTGACACACGAACAGACAGTTTATGTGGGTAACTAAGGACAAAATTTCCACAGAAAACTTTCAAATGTACTTTGGTAACGGTGAAGGATTAAGGTTTAAGGTGCTATTAGCACAAAACAAATAAGCACTGGAGGAAAAAAAAAGTTCGAGTATGCCATCTGAGAACACACAAAATGTTCTGTAAGTAAAATCTTTCATTGTAATCCTGATTAAATAACTGGGGGGAAAAGACCCAAATCTGTTCCTTTTTGAACAACCACTCTTTATTTAGAGTAACCCACACCTCACTGCTCAGTTTATCCTCCATCCCCTGAGACATCTCATCAAGGAAAAGACAGACACAGACTGGGTAGCATCTCTTGCTATTCTCCCTGTGATGGTGACCTTCACTTGGTTCTTACCCTGAATCACATTTCCTTGGCAATTTTGGAATCTACCACCAAATCTGACCTTAATATCTTGTCTTCTGATGGAAATGTTCTCACTGCCCAGATCATTCCTTGAAAAAGACGGGGAGCAAAAAGCAGCAACAAGCTCAGTCAGTGCTGAGGTCCCACATGAAGGCTCCTGCAGATGACAGCACTGAAGAAAGGTCAAGGCAAAGATGCTGTGTTTGGAGTTACGAGTTCAGTTAATAACAAGACGTGTGGTAATTCTGTTTTAATCTTATAAACAAGCCATTTTTCAAAGCACACCAGAGGATCCTCATGTCCCCATTCCCACTAATATCAAAGGGTTCTCATGCCAGCGCTTTCTCAGCCGCAGACCGAGCAGGACATCTGAGCACACATCTCAGCTGCTGCCCGAACAAGAATTATCTTCTGCTTCCCATTCCCCAGTGCAGAAGACATTAATTTTTCTTTACAAAATTTTTTTACAGAATTTTTTTTTTACATCTTATCAGGGCCTACAGCTGAACAGACATTGTGCTGCTGGCACAGAAAAGATTATGTTGATTTATAGCACACACAGTCCTTTATCAGAGAGCAGAGAAGGTGAGCAGCAGATTGGAACAGATATGAAACCCAATGAAAAGAATACCTGTAACTATTACATTGAAAGGGTTCAATGAGAAAGTATAGAGAGTGCTGCAGATGAACAGATTAAAGCTTTATGTCTGAAAAACATCATCAGCTGCATACCTTTAGCATCCTCCCATGGAATAAAATGTTAGCTACTAATAAATAAGTTTCCTTCTAACTAACTATCTCTGATTGCTTTTTAAAGATTTTTTTAGGCTTTTTGATTTTTTTTCTTGAAAATAAGCCACTTTTTTGGTTACTTTCTCTCTTCAGACATTCTCCCTTTCTGTAAAAAACCAAACAAATGAATGATCTCTAACCGATCTCGCATTGTGCTGTACACTGAGAATCTACTGGTTCTGCTCAAAGTTATTAAAACTCAAAACCCAAATCCATTCAGACTTTTTCAAACCAGGGCAAAGCAATTCCCTCTCTACCCACCTCCTACCTGGCAAGCTGACAAGAGTTTCATTTCCCAAGCAGTACTTGCTGCCCACAGAGGTTCATTCTGCAGCACTTCTGCAGCAGAAGAAACTCAGTTCCTAAAGCTAAGGAGCTGTTAAGTGCTTTATCTAACGAGATGGTCTCCAGGTTATCCACCCCTAATCCATCTCACAGCTCATCGAAGGGATGGCTTCTCCCGATGCTCCCAGGGGAATGGCTCCATAGGTGGGTGATCACCAAAACTCACTGCCAACCTCAACCAGCTCCTGCAGGCACCGCCTCGGAAAGCTCACACCATCAAAATGACAACTATAATGTCTGGG